AACTGTAATCGATCTGTAAAGTTCAGCACAACTACTGTAAACGGAAATAGTTCAAACATTTGATTCTTTCATATTGCAGCATGTCTTTCCTCCTCTTGCGATTTAGTCACAACCGAAGTAACAACAAACTACATCACTGAAAGTTCTTCTATTTTAAAGTCCATAACATTAGCAACATCTTCGTTATGCACCACAATGCACGTAAACGTGGTGACATCTACTGCTGATCGAAAGTCTTCAGCTTTCTACCATACGACCTTCTATTCTGGAAGCTTGTTGATTTTTAATCTGCCAGAGATATCTGTAACACAGCGCTACAGTTCACTTTACAGCCAAAGAGACCCTGTTAAACTTAGCATGATAATTGTTGCATCCAGCTTCCAAACTTCTACTCTGGATTCAATTTCATCATTAAAGTTCTCATCTTCATCACTATCGTTGGTCTCATCGTCATCGTTATTATTGCTGTCTACACCGTCGCCATCGTCTTCTTGTACCCTCTTCCAAACAACTTCGCATGGCTTTGTTTCTTTCCTTACTCCATCACCGGCAAGAAAAGTTAAAAGTTCCTCGATGACTCCCAGTCCAAGCACAGTTCGTCCAACAGATGGAATAGAAATTGAAATTAAACCTCACCACAATGTAAGTGATACAATCATGATTGTTATTATACTGTAACTTAGCCCTCTTACATGTACACTGATCAGCCTTTAATTTTTTTGTGCTTAACTCCGGGTCTTCTTTATTTTTGATATATTTACCATAAGATCTCGATTAGATTTAGAAATCTACGTTATTTAACGGGATCTTCGGGCTCCTGGGCACTACATGAATAAATAACCGATTGATTGATTGATTGGTCGATTGATTAATCGAAATTAATCAGTTTTGCGAAAGGATTTCAACAAACTATTGTAGCAATCTACCCGTTTTGCGTACCTATGATGTTGTCCAATATTTTTATTGTCCAATCAAAGAGAAGCACGGGCACTGTAGTCAGCATAGCGCAATAAGTCTTGTTTCTTTTAACAGTGGACGACCGCAACGGAGGAAGAATTACGACTTGAGCTGGTGAACAAAGTCAATGAATATTGTACTAAACAGCCTCTTCCATGCCAAATTACATCGAACACCACTGTGAATAGGTAATAAATAATACGCTGTTACTGCCTTTGTTTGTTTATTTTGCAACAAGACCATAAATACAGCGAATTCAAGAAGGCTTCAGGAGGGAGTAAAGTTGAACTAAAATGAACTTGACCCATGAGTATTCTAAGGGCGCGTTTACATGTACATCCAATCAATCTGATCCATTCAAAAGTAAAGTTTATGTCGTTTAAAAATTTTACAAGTCTAAGGTTGTAAAATATTTTACTACCTCTTTTTTCTCTCAAGAACTATCTTCAACATGTCGCATGTCATCATGAGAGTAACAAATGGTTCAAACGGAGAAGTCGTTGTCCGAGTAAAAATGAAGCTTCCCGATAGCGTACCGCACATTCCCGGATCAGGTGAGATATGTATCTGATATTGTCTGCTATTTTCAGGTATCTGTGCTAGGGAAACAGGACAATACATATGGGTTATTGACCAAGCGTGAGGTCAAGATATTGGCCAAGTTCCTTTTTTGCGTGATTATGGACCAAAACAGAGCCGGGGTCCATAAACTAGCCAAAAAAGAGACCAATATCCAGCCACCTTGACCGAGCAAGCTTGGTAAATAAAGGAATAATTTTATGGCTTTCGGGGAATTTCCCACAGCGCAGATAAACACCTACATCTTGCCTCCTAGATCTTGCCCGCCAATTCGTATCGCGATGATTATATTCCGATTCAAACGTTGTGTAGCCAGTTCATAGTACATGTAATTAAGAACTTCTGATGGTAGGGATTTGAGGCTCGAACTCTGGGCTAATCCCTAGACGTAGTCATTCCTAGTTGACCTGTTCGCAGTTGTCCCGAATAGCCTTTCAAATACTCCAGGCTATTGGCTATAATTATTCGTAAGCGCCAACCAGTAGTGCAGTTTCAAAATCCCAAGTTGTTTATAGTGCACAAAAAACGTAAAGATCTTTATTTCATTCTGAAGTGTGGATGCAGCGGTCGTACTGACGCTTCCATTAATTGGTAGTAAGCATAGCTGGCTTCTATTCAGATGCATAAAATGAGACAAAGCATAAGTCGATTTTTCTGTCTTCGCTCTTTTCCAGAATACGTGCCATCTATCGTTTTCAAAACAGTAGTTTTGAGGAACGAACTACCACTGGAAAAGCGCCTTGGAGTACAGATCCTGACTGTGAGAGAGGTCGTTTGGGACCGTCCTACCCTACCCCCTATGAAATCTTCATCTTTCTCCCTCAGTGTTCGAGTGACGGTCAAAGACATACCAACTATCCTTCAGAATCAAGACTACTCTGGCTTTCTTCCCTACTTGTTAGTAGCCCTGTGCATGACAGCAGCTGTTATCGTGGGTTTTGCATTTTACAGGTAATACTGATATAAATCTGCGCATGTTTGATTTCTTAATTTCTATTCGCTACGCGCAAATGCGCGCACAGCAATGAACATGACTAACCAAAGTAATGGAATGCGGATAAAGCTTATCCAGGATGAATAAAACTCTAACTTACAATACAGTGTCATAAAATATCGCTCATGATTTTATCCAGTCTCCTTCCTCTTTATCAAAGTAGCTCAAAGTTTCTAGCGACGTATGTCGTGAAACTAACTTGAAAACAAACCCTACGAACGATAGAAGTAAAACTCTTTTTAAACTTTTAATTCTGGATTGGCGTTCATCGCCTTTTGATCATGAACAACTGGATTGAGGCTTCGTCGGGTATAGCTACTGAAAATATCCTATCTCTGCATTCTCAACTTGCACTGAATTTATCATCTAGACGCTAAATCACGTTTTCTCTCAGGAGAAGCAGGTTGCGTGAAGTGAGAGTGCGGCCGGAGCCCGAATGTCCATCAGAGGAAGAACTATTGGTCTTACCTCCAAGAAAATCAACGCTTTTAAGGCCCCGTTCAGCTCCGAATGACACAAATAGAAAGGTGGGCCTGGANGGGTTTTGCATTTTACAGGTAATACTGATATAAATCTGCGCATGTTTGATTTCTTAATTTCTATCCGCTAAGCGCAAATGCGCCCACAGCAATGAACATGATCAACCAAAGCGCTGGAACGCGGATAAAGCTTATCCAGGATGAATAAAACTCTAACTTACAATACAGTGCCATAAAAGATCGCTCACGATCGATTTTATCCAGTCTTCTTCCTCTTTATCAAAGTAGCTCAAAGTTTCTAGCGACGTATGCCGTGAAACTAACTTGAAAAAAAAAAACCCTACGAACGACAGAAGTAAAAATCTTTTTAAACTTTTAATTCTGGATTGGTGTTCATCGCCTTTTGAACAACTGGATTGAGGCTTCGTCGGGTATAGCTACTGAAAATATCCTATCTCTGCATTCTCAACCTGCACTGAATTTATCATCTAGACGCTAAATCACGTTTTCTCTCAGGAGAAGCAAGTTGCGTGAGGTGAGAGTGCGGCCGGAGCCCGAATGCCCATCAGAGGAAGAACTATTGGTCTTACCTCCAAGAAAATCAACACTTGTAAGGCCCCGTTCAGCTCCGAATGACACAAATAGAAAGGTGGGCCTGGATTTTTCATCCATATTATTATTTATAACTGAGCCGGAGCTTTAGCTTACATTTATCAAGTTTCCTAATATAATATATCATTTGAAGGTTACTTGAAAAGAGGATGATATAAATCAATTTTTGTGGCCGGAGCTTTACAAACCAGTGGGCTAAAGAGGAATTAGGGTTCCATGCCCATAACACTTTCTTACTTGCTCTTTACTCCAATACTCACGTTCTAAATCTTCTTTCTCATTACAATTTTCTGTACCACTTATAATTATTAAGAAACAATGTTTCTTTACAAAAAAAAACGTAAAATGTCTCGAGAGCGAAAAGATCTTGAAGTCTCGAACCTCTATGCCGTTAACAGATTTCTTGTAATTTAAACATGAATTCAAATTTTGTTTCGTCGTTTAATTCCGCAGGAGAACTGTCACAGTGACCTAAAATCATCAAACGAAGATCCGGATGACTACAATCGAGGCAACAGCTATCTCTTCCGATCAGAACCACACCTGCGAGAGTTAACCGAGCTAGATTTAAAGTCGCCTGACGAAGGCGCTAATGATAACTTTCACGTCAACAAGAATATTTTTCTGTCTGCAGCCCGTCTGCGAGAGCCGACTGAGCCAGTAGTATTCAACAGCGGCGTTGCTACGAAACAAGGCGCCCCTTCATGATGTAGGGCTAATGTCACACCTTCGAACAATCATGCTATTTCGGATTCCGAGCGAGAACAATTGGAATTCTTTGGTATGCTAAAGTAAAGTTTTACCCGAAAATTGAAATTCTTTCCTCGATTGTAATTACATGAAGGATTGTTTCTCTGCAATTGAAAAGCTAAGATGAATCTCTCACATTATACCGAGTCTTGAAAGAATTACATCTGAACAAGGATTTCCGATTATATTTTGTACGAGACTTTCAGCGAGAAAGAGAAAACACATTACTGAAAGGGAATAACACAAGAAAAAAAATTGTAAATTGTTTCAATGATTACAAGGAAGAACAGCTAATTATAGAGCGGCTTTCCACTTGATTGTCGAAGAGTAATTACACCGAAAAGCATTACAACGAAAAGCATTACAACGCTACACGATTGGCTTAAAAACTTCGGGCTACTTTTTCACCCAATCAGAACTAAAAGAAAACCAATAACCTCTCTCGCGATTCATTCCAACAAAATTTCCCCGCGCTTTGCGTCAGCTACATTTAATTACTTCTAGTTTTAATTGGTTCACTGTATCGTCCGTGTCCTTTGCGCTTGGATAGAGTGCCTACTGTGGTTCTGGTTTTACGACACTCAATTTAAAACCGCTCTATACATAACTATAATTCAGTTTGAACTCTACTGACGGTACTGACTGCTGTTCATAGACACCAAAGGTTACCTGTTGCCTATCGGTGAAAACAGGCCTCGGGGCAATATCATTATTCAAGAGTCTTATACTCGTGAGTCTGATAGGATCGATACTGAATAGCCTCCACTTTGTTTTGTCTTCTATAAGTTCAATGTATCAAATTGACGTCAGTTTTTTATGCGTCTGTCCTAGCCTCTTATTGATGATGAATTGCGTCATAACATTTTCAAAGTGGCTGTGGAA